TGATAGTTATCATTAGCCATTTAGCTAACTCCGGGCTTCACAGAGAGGAGGAGGAACATCAAAGTGACAAAAAGTCGAGAGGGGGGGGACAGAATAATGGTTCACAGATGTAACAGAGATGGACAGACAAAAAAGGCAGAGAAAAGGTAAGGTGAGTATCGTGAAAGGGATCGAATATGACATACAGTTGGGCCATTGTAGTTTGAAGTCAAAAGTCAATTGCCGGTTTATAGACTTTTTTGCCGTATGAGTATATGTTGCCTCAGGGTGCACCACGAGGAGGTAAGTCTATTGCACACCCCTCTACTCAGCTATTAGTATGCATTAATGTTATACTGAATGTATTCAATTATTATTAATGTTTGCTGTGAGCATAAAGGCAATAAAAATTCTGCTCTCTATGTGCCTATTTCCTCTATATTATTAAGGTAGATTAACTAATTCCGGAAGCCTTTCCATATTAGGGAATTTTGGCATAGAGATTGATGAGGATAGGTGAAGGCTTAATTGTATAGAAATCGGATACAGACACATTCTATAAGTTGCATATTGTCCTAAATGTTACCTAATATGGAAATCTACTTATACTTATCTACTGAATTCCATTAAGAAAGACAATGCTTGTTGTGAGACAGAATTACACTTATCGGAATGCTAAATATGCGAAATCATTTATCTGAACAGTGATGGTAAGCCAAAAAAACAGTTTGGACACGACCTAACTCGATAGCATCCTAACATATCATGGGAGAGTGTCTAAATTGTGGAAGAGAGGGTCAGACGAAATGTTTTCAAGGCCCTGAATCCAGACGCTTGAACATCACAGAATTGTTAATTTTCTCTCCGCTTTAAAAGGTTTTAAGTTGGCTGAACTTCCTCACGATTTTGCTTGGTAAATTAAATTTTCAAGTATCTGTGTAAGAACTCCAATTTCGATTATATTTTTGCCCTTAACAGTTTAGTGAAAGACATTTTAGAAATTTTCTTTCCAATATCCCTGAGTGACGACACTGCCTGTTGGTTGGGTTTATACAATCCTGTTTCTATTCTATTCACAAAGTCAGTCCTCATCAAAGGGTATCCAGTTGACTTCAGTAACAACATTATTTATTGGAACCTCCGGATATTACTTCTCCTCTTCACTTCAACAGATTTGGAAATTAAATGACGATAGAATGAAGTGAACTTATTTTCCTCTATACTTACTTTCAATAATAAATGTCTCTTTTATTAAACTCCTAATGATTAAATTTCTTTGCTACTTGTCAGAAATATTAAAAAGCAACACATCAGACATATTTTTCAATTCATACATAATTTTCGATGGTTATGACTGTTGAAGATAATGAAATAAACTTGTCAAAAAGTTCTTACTTATGACGAAGTGGCGTAGTGCTTCCTCTAAACGGAGCTATTCATTTAAATCAGTGTTTTTCTACTTTGTGAAAGTACTTTGAATCAACCACTTTAGTTAGCTCAAACCCTTTAAAAACAAAGATTTTTTGACGACAAACTAAGTAAGAAAATTTCAACCGTAAAATTAAATATAAAATTGTAATTGTAATTGCCAGATAACGACCGTTTTTATTTCCATCGATTAATCTTATTTTCTACTTATTAGAAATTCGATATTGATCGAGACGGAAAGATTGGAAGAAGGGAGTTCATCTCTGTGTGTCTTCGAGTAAGTAATCATGTTAATTTCTCATTGCATCGATTTCAATTTTAGGATAAAGTCATATTGGAGTCACTAACAGCATTTGGAGGATCATTTTAATATTCGGTTAACTTTATTTGAACCCTCTGTTACCGTGATATACACATACTATGACGTATTTTCTTGTTAAAATATAACAAACTTTAATTTTCGCCTCTTAGATCTCTATCTTTCTCTGGAACTATTTCCCCAAAAAAACACTGCCCACTCAATTTGGTAACAGTTTCAGCTCGTTGCAACGAATTATTCACTACGTTATAGGCAAGAATTTAAAGCTAACAAACACCCCCCAGGCAATACCTTAGTGAATATCTCTGGTGTTTAAATAAGTGGACTCAAGAAAACCTGACAAATGGTACGGAGTTTTGCGTTATTAATAAAATCAATCAAACGATTACTACATGGTGTCTGGACCTCCAGAGTCATGTGTTTGGGAGTAGGTCCGAGAGAGAGAGAATTGGCGTTTGTTTGACAATCTTTACAATATTGCGGAAATGGAAAGGGGGGGGAGTGGAATAGGGGGAACGAAATGGAAGAAACATGTGAATAAGTGCACACCGACACCAGATAAGATTGAAGATAAATAGAAATTGATTAGAACGTCAGCGTAAACTCCGATCAGCCAATACAAACTAGCAATTAGCCCATTATTTATTACTCTCAAATGGGCAACACTCATCCTTAAGAGGATACGGGTAAATTCGGACTGCATGATCAACCATTCAATTAATCACCGGAGCCTTTGTGGTCTGAATATCGTGAGGGAGAATTAATGGAGTTCAATATTACTCAGCAAACTATACTCCTCATGAGAAATGTGATTTATTGCAACATCTAAATTTAATACAATTATGAGTTGATGTCGTAGAGTCATTGCATACTTAAACTTGAAAATTCACCCCATAATTGTTTTCTCGCAATTATTATACGCGAAAAATGGTTTTATCGTGTGCAGTACTACTGCCACTGTGGTTTTAAACATTATACACTTTGCATTACAATAGCATAATATGATAGACTTATAAAGTATTTATTTATTTATATCAAATGGCAGGCGTTCTGATAGTTATCATTGGCTCTTTAGTTGACTTCAGGATTCACAGAGGAAGGAACATCGGAGTGAGAAAAAGTCGAGTTGGTTGGGGGAACAGAAGATTGTTTCAAAGATGGAGGTAGAAAAGGTAGAAAAAAGGCGAGGTGAGTAATGTGGGAGTAGTCGAATATAACATACAGTGAGGTGGTGATAGTTTGAAGTGAGAAGTCAATTGCCAGTTAATAGACCTTTTTGCCGTATGAGTATACGTTACCCAGGGTGCACCACGCGGAGGTAAGTCTATCACTCACCCCAGACTTATAAAGTTGAAGAAAACAATTAATGATTTTTCTGTATCGACAAAGAAGGGAGATATTTCAAAGGTTAGGACTTGGTATTTATAGCTAAAAGTGGTTAACCCTTTTCTCAAAGTTTGAAAAATAATTACTAATCTCAAGAATTTTACTACAGCATGTGATTCGTTAGCAATCCTGATTACTCAGGTTAATTTATTCCTCAATGTCAGGAGGATCCCGCCAAATTGTTAATTTGAGGCATATCACTTTTCCGTAGACTCTCTCGGGTTTAATTACGCTGCTTATTCGCATACCTCCTTCCGTAGGACACAACTTGGATGTACATTAACAAATATATAAACTCGTAATGCCCTCTTGCGCTTTATTTATATTAGTGATTTGCTCAAACCATTTCCAACCCCTGAGAAAAACACTTGAAAATTGAATCCAATAAGGAATATCACGATTCTGTTTCGTATTTTTTGTTTACGGTTTTGTGCCGATTTTGTGAAGGAAGTTAAAGTTACACAAAAAAACATATTTCCGTGGTTTTAATTAACTAGAGAGCATCTTGATATAGAGCAACTTTGAACACTTGATTGTATATTTTGCGATTTGGCTTGAAAATGCCAATTCCTTTAAGAAAGCCTTTTGAGGAAGTTGAACCTCTAATATTTGCTTTCACGTTACATATTTAGAAGTGAATAGCTTATGCTTAAAGCATAACGATATGGCCTTCAAAAGCATGAGAATTTAAGCAGTTTGACATTCAGTTGACATCAGTAGGGCTTTGGGTATCCCCGGGACATTTGAAGCTGATTAGGAGGTCACGGCTAGTCTTTAAGTAGGTGGCATAGCAACTACGAATGCAGAGGTATATTCCAAAGCGCAGAGTCCTTAACATGACAGAGGCTGTCAAATTTAGCCTATTTTGGCCATGGAATATTAGCCCCCGTTTGGAGAACTTAAATGCTAATTGAGGTAAGATGAATTTTCAAATAGGTATGATCCTAATGAAAACAAATGTTAGACTAGTACAACTGGAAATAAATAGAAGCGAGAGTTGAATTTATTCCAACAAGTCAAAGCCATTAAAACTGGCAGTTGAAGGATTTGACGCAGAAATCTATTCAAATTCAATAGACATTCGGCAAAATAATTACCCGCCCATGAATTTTTAAAGGAACAAAAATAATTACAAGAACTCACTTTACTTGCTTTCTTTTAATGAACTACCTTAAGAATATCCTATTTTAAAGCTAAAATAACTTCCCTCTAACACATATATATGGTGAAGTCATAAGTAAATCCAAACAGACTTATTTGAACTTAACGTACCTATAGCTTAGTCAACATCATTAACGCTGACAGTTAGAACACTTCGCCTATTTCATACTTCATAATGTGTAAAACATAATTATACAACAGATAAACGTCCATACATAGATGTATTGCCTGAAATGCCACCAAAGGAAACCACATATGCTACCGGATAAAAATTGGCGCACTGCTCAATTGAAAGAACCCAATATTGAGACCCAACAGCTACCTAAATGGAGCTTCGGCATAAATAACAACTACTTATTAATTATTAGTAATTACTTACTATTTATAATTACAATTTGGGGCTAGACAACAAGCCCTACAGTCCTATCAGATACAAATCAAGAAGAGTGCTCGCTCAAAACGCTTGCAATCTTGTCTACTTACCCAAAATTTAAAGACCATTTACCTCAATAACCATTCATTTATGATAAATCGGAAAAGAGCGAAATCACGTGTATGACATCGTGGCAAGTGACCTGCATAAAGTACACTAAAACTCTACATAAATAAGCAAAAGTACACTAAATTAATCGCAAATAGAACCATGCAGTAAAAAAAAGAAACAAATAAGAGTTCATTTGGTAAATAATCTGCCAAATCTGCAAAAGCGGAAGAAGTTAGTAAATTACTAGTCAGTTGGCACTGGAGGAAGTTTCCTTCCATACAGATTTTCAAAAGCAGATTCAAGAGTTGGGTACTGGAATCGAAATCCTGCAGCAGTGACCTTAACAGGAAGGACACGTTGGCCTTCAAGTAGCAAAGGGGCTCGATGTGCCCCGAGCATAGCTTTCACAACAAACGCAGGAGTTGGAATGCGCCCACCGAAAGATGGTGCTCCCAGAGACTGACAAAGAGCTCTGGAAAAGGCTCCTTGGCGGACAGGATTTGGAGCCGTGGCGTTAACTGGACCATCCAACTTTTGACCTAAAATATAAAGGATTAAATAAATTTTCGTCTGAAAATGGTGTCGTGAAAATGGGAGACACTTGGTAAAGAGAATAGGGTAGATAGCAATCAAATTTCCATCTCTTGTAGCATGAAATTGAGAAATCTTAAAAGAAACCATTCCCTTTCGACATCACAACGTAAGATAACACAAATACCCTAACGCAAAAGTAAGAATTAAGTCTTAAATAAGGTCTTGATGTCCGTAGTGTATGTTTTTTCCAAAATTTAATCAAATGAATGCTTTTAATCCTATTGACTGCAAATAGATAGGTGTTATATTGACTAAACAAAGATCATGGATGTAAAGTTGGGTGGCCCAGTCAACTACCATGATACACCATTGTTATTCTGTCTGTCATATCTCTGCAAGACTCAAACAGCACCTACCAGAAGGGTCTGTTAGTAAGAAACAGAAAATATTGACAAGATCATCAATGTGAATCCAAGAGAACCACTGCTTTCCATCACCAATGGGGCCAGCCAAGCCGAGACGATGAGAAGTGTACATATTTGCCAGAGCACCTCCATCATTTGATAAGGCGATCCCTAGAACGAGATATCGAATATAGTAAATAATCGACGCAAAAGACGTTAAAATATGAATTTTAAATACCAGTTCTAACAAAAACGCGTCGAATACCATCAAGTTGTGAGCCAGAACAAGCCGCTTCCCAATCGTGAACGAGACGAGAGAGGAAACCAGATTCCTCATACCCATCTTTCTCACAATAACTACGAGACAAGTCGGGTTTATAAAATCCTAAAGAATAAACTAAAACAGCAAAATATACCGATAGCTGAAGAGTTGATAAAATGCTTTGTTGACTTTGAAAGAGACTGGACTAAAGTTTTAGTCGTCTCTATGCGACTGCTGCGAACTTCTTCTAAAAATTCGTTATAAGCCCTACTAAAATGAAAGACGCTAGGATAAATGGTTGAACAAACTTAGAGAAAAGGAACTTGGGATTGATTTCACCGATGCTTCGACCCGATAAATTTATAACAGCATGAGTATCTTCCGGAAGACCAGACGACTCGACAGTTTTCTGTTAAACGGAGTAATAAAAATCGCACATTTATACCCAGGATAAATCTTGACTGCGTCTTGGATTACGTAAGATTATTCGGACATTAATGCCCTTTGCTAGTAACTTCGTTTTTAAAGCTCGCCCAATCAGGCCATTTCCACCACATGCATTGAAATTAAAAATGACCAATTAGAGACAAACCAATAATGACATTCATGTTCATTTGTAGGTACTATATTGATATAACGTTATTCAGGTAATTATAGCAGACAGGTATTTTCAATCAGATCATGAAAACTCCTAAACTGCAGATCGACTTAACCGCGAAATGCTCACCTTACGTTCAGAATAGCACATGAGGGATTTTCAAGGTCGCCCATATAATGATTTATGCAATGGAAAATGTTAAGTTTTGGGTTTATGGACCAACACTGTGGTTGAAATACACAAATTCACGTCTGTATAGACATATAAAAGATTTAATTTGTTTTATTAAATTATATTCGGAAATCAAAATTAAACAACAATAACTTCAATTCCGAATATTTCCAAGTTCTAAAATCTCCGCTCAAAGGAAAGGTTAATTCTTTGTAGAACGCTTTCGTAATTAACCATTGTTTCATATATTTAAATTATCGTTAGATCCTGATTAAAAAACATAGATTAGGCTTTGTAAGTACCGAACTACTGGGAAATTAACTCCTATCTTTTTCATATAATTATTCGATATTTTTCATTGTCTGACGCTCTGTTTGTACTTAAAGTAAACCATGGCCAGCCGAACATTTCTACTTTTCTCATTTTTTTGCACCTAGGATACTTATGCACATTTTAAGGCAGCTGTACTTAATTCCTCATACCATACCGCACAAGAACTCTACACCTGTTTCGTTGATAACACAACGAAATAATGCACTTAGTGCTGGTTCTTACTCCACTACCTGAAGATAAACATAGGACCAAGTACAAATTTAATAATTGACAAATAGTTTTATAAAAAGGGTTGTATTACGAGCGACAAGGTATAAAAATAAATTCTCTTTTCTTGCAAATATACGCAGACAAATATTGGTTTCTGATTTCGTCATTCAATAAAGGCAAAATTTATAAAATAATCCGAAAAGGGCTGTGCCGGCTCAATTTTACGCAGCTCTTCAATCGCGCGCGCAGACTAAGGGAAAAAGAAAATAATATTATAAAAAGTCAAAGAGGTGTACTGAAAATTGTGCCACTTCTAACCTCTTCAAGATAGCATATTTCGACCGTTGGCTCCTGCATACTTAACCAGGTGAGGAAATCAGCTTGCTAAAATATCAAAGAAAGAAGCTGTCATATAACAGAAAAACTACAAGAACTCCAATCAACATGGTCATGCAAAAATTCAATGAAATTTGGTTCATTTCGTAGTATGAACAGGTGGACAAGAAATTATCTACTGGGGAAAAATATCCTCGATTCCTATACCATACACAAATGACAAATAACAAATTGAAAGAGATAAAAAATTACCCCTTCTGGAGGAGGCTGCGGGTCAAGCAAACGAGATGAGGGCGGGATGGAAAGAGGAGAGTTGCTTCGTGAAGTGTGAGGCGTATGAACAGATGCATCCTGATCTACATTGTGGCTGCCGACAGAATGTTCATTTTTGTTTGAATTTGAATCGGAAAGGTGAAAAATATCCCAATCCACTGAAAACAATTAGAATAAATGGCGTATAAATTACCCTTTCAAATGATTTCGTTAAAACGAAAAAGAAGTGCCAGCGTATTTCCGAAATGCTAAAACGGTAAAACTTAAAGCATAGTCCATGGGGAGAATAGGTAAATGAAAACGATCTATTAGTAAGCTAAGAAAGTAAAATATATTCCCGTGAAGGCGCAGTTACGTGAGAAGCAAATTGTTTAAATTGTTGGACGATTAGAATAGCAACTAAAAAGCCGATGTCGGCTCCATAACCAAAAATCCATACTTAGTACTAAACTGATACAAAATAGGGCGGAACAAAAAAGTCATAATTGTTACATTTTGAAGGCTTTCGAAGAGAACACAGAACCGAATGACCAGTCAAAATGGTAACTAAATATAAGGTGCTTGAGCTAATATCTGTGAAAAATGTAGCATATCATAAACCTTAGAAGCATGTCATATACTTAACGCAAGTCAAAAGTCCATACCTGATGGATCACAATCATCGATTGCATGATCACTATTTGTCTTTCGTGGAGTTGGTAGAACAAGGCCAGAAGAAGCTGAGGTATTACTCATTTCATCTAAAAATGCCAATATCCATCGATCAATTATAAAAAGATATTTGTGACTCAATTATTTGCATTCTGCGAGCCATTTTGTGATTTTAAGTAAAATTTTTGTAACACGCTAAAATGAATTTATCTACAAACCCTAAGAGGGTCAAAATTTAAAATCCGAAACATAACAAAGAAAAATATGGAGAAAACCTAACATAAAGAAACTATATTGTCTACCTTTACTCGACTTTTCCTGTCTCATTTCTAATTGCGATAAATAATAATTGACACGCGATGAAAACTAATGAAAGTGTTTAATGCCCTTTAGCTAATAACAATAGTCTGAGCGAAATTTGATACACTAACATCAACGAATCACTACTATAGATCATCTCACATAACGTACCATCAGCGGAGACGGTGTCTATATTGTCACTAAAGCTGAGTGTTTCGGCAGTGGGATTCTGCGTCGGTATCCACTTATCTGCACAAGAACTTTGTTCCGATGGCAAAATATTGGGTTGTTCAGAAGCAGGCGGTGAAGTCTCATTAATCTCCTAAAAAGAAAGGAAAGACATATTATAAATTTGAAAGTAATTTTAGCGCAGTTTGAATTGAAGTTAATTCGATTACCTCTACCGCATCGAGACCAGATTTTACAAAGCCGATAGCTTCAGAGAGTGGAATTTTCTCAACAATTACGGAAACTGATCGAAGTTCGACATCCAACTAAAAGCATACTTACAACCGGAAAAAATACAAAAACGTACCATCCTAACACTAGATCCTGATTTCTCACTACTGATTTCACATTTATCGTCTTCACTACTTGAACATGAGGCCGATTTATTCAGCACAATTCTTCTAGATATACCGAAAATAATGATAAATTCACAATGCTTACGGAGAAGGAACGACAGTCAACAAATCTTTCTCTGCACTTTTACTAAAAAAGAAGAAGTTAATTTTATTATGTAATATACATTGAGGGTATTGATGAAAAAGCCTCAGAAAGACAGTGGGCATCACTAACAATTCTTATGTCCTTCACAATTGCAACAAAAGTATGCTAAAAAACATTAATAAATATAACAACATACCGACACGAAATCAAAGTTAATGAGATATTCATCCAAAAAAACTATAAAAAAGCAGACATCTCGATTTCGGAATTTATTTCTTAAAATAAGAGTAAAGTGAATAAAATTGACATACTTGCATACTAATAATTCTTGGGGATTTTTATCTGCATTTAAATCTATCCAAAATTGTCCATCACACAGTTTAAGCGACTAAACAATTGAAGAAATATACTGCACACCTTACATCTGCCTCCTTGACTATAAGAGCTTTAGGACTTTCAGGCATATTTGCCCATGATTGCTCAGCTATAGAAATCTTGCAGCAAAAGTATATAAATGGTCTGACGTCTGCCAACTCGTTTACAACACTTGGAGCATTAAGTCCAACAACCCAAGGCCTTAAGGGTCTAATACGCTTACTTAAATCCTTAAAGCGGAAACCATCACTGCTCTTCATTGCAAATATAACGTTTTTGATACCTGCAGGGCAGGTGAAAGTCGAAAGATCATTAAATATAAATATTTTAAAATCGCTGAATAAATGAGAAATATTAAAACAAATTTCATCTTTATAAATTATTCCATTATATTTGTAATTAGTTTAAATACTTACTTATAATGTAAAATCGGGAATTAATTTAACGTTACAATTGAAAGAATTGTAATAATTACAATATTTCGATAACTGGTGGATTTTCGAAATTGAGTAATATTCAAACCCGTTTCGATGGCGTCCCAAACGCTAATCCTGTTTAAAGGATTTTTATTTGACGAAACGAATTCTGCCACCCTCTATATTCTCCCGTCTTAAACAGGTATCAAAAAGTATCAAATTTAGAATCGCGTCTTTCGCTTAACTTCGACTGTATAATTGTCTACTCCATTCCCAATTTATGGGCCAATGAATGTCGAACAAGTCAAATTTGCCATACTGCACGCTCACGATGAATAATGACCACGAAGGCACTCGACTAAAGCACCAATTTTATCTCCATTTAAAATTTAACGTAATATTAGTACTTTTATTTTTTTTAAATTACGAAACGAATAAAACACTTACCATCGTAATTTTAAAATCACTCATTTAAAATATATAGATTTTCTATGTCCCTTGCCTATGGAATTAGAAGAGGATAATTAAAAGAGTGGGGGGTCAGCAAACAGTATATCCAAGTTGATGCGAAGCCGACACACAAAAAATAAATCCTATTACCCTGTCCATTTGCTTAATTAACGGATTGGCAGTGACAATAATACGTTGAAGTCTGAGAGGCATTGTATTGCAATTGTCGCTTTAAAGTTTAGTAATAATTCAATCTCAAAACCCATTTTTTAAAAACTTTTATATCTGCCTGTCGTTGGTAAAATGATGAAGACAAGGGCGGAAAGTGGAAAAATGCAAGAAAATTTTATTTGAAGATAGATATACCTTGGGGTAGAGTACTTTGCTTCAAACAATGTATTCGATATTTCATGAAAGTATTGGCACCTAGATGACTTCAATAGTACCTAAGTTATGCAAAAAACAATATTTATAAAATTTTGATAATCATGTTAGTTTCTAACAGTTTTGGGTTTGATGAGTGGTCAAAAATTCGTATGTAGAATCTCAGATATGGTGCAATATACGACAAAAAGGGGAAAAAAAATCTTCACTACAAACAGATGTGAGAGAAAGTAAAGGTGATGGAATGCAACTAACAAGATTGAAAATATTTCAATGGAAATCTTATGTGCGATCAAAGGTCTATATTCCTAATTTATAGTATTTTAAATATTAATGCTAATTTTTAATCAATTTATTTGACAAACCCCTTGGCATGCACAAAATTTTGCGCGTCATGCTTGTCATTTACGCAGATATCGTCAAACACTTACGAACGTTTAAGGCCTGTTTTGGATTTTTTAATGGCAAAGCTTTTAATATTCATTTTCAGAAACCGATATTTACATAAAATGCAACGGTCAAAAATATATATAATTTTTTGGTTAGAAATTTATAGTTTGGTATGATGAATTGTTAATAAAATTTGTTACATTGTTTATATAAGTAGCTAAGTTATTACTGCTTTAAATCTTCTCGTAGTCTCTCGAAGTGTGATTTGTGCGTGTTGCTTTCGCACAGAAAATAATGAGTATTGCAAGTCGGGTTTTGCCTCCTATGTCGTCCCAAGTGGACAAAATTCGAAACGTTTGTATTCTTGCGCACGTTGATCATGGTAGGTTGCTGTGATTTTGTAGCCAGATGAAATTCAAAACTGTTTTGATAACTGAGAAGTTTGAAAATACTTACAGTTCTTAATTATTACATATTTAGAAATATATATTGTTTTTTATCCTCGTTCTATTCTTTCAATGATCTGTGATACCGTTTGTCTAGGTAAAACAACACTCGCCGATGCCCTACTAGCTACCAACGGAATTATTTCATCACGACAGGCTGGCCAAGTGCGTTATATGGACAGTTTAGAGGCTGAACAAATCCGTGGCATTACAATGAAGTCCAGTTCAGTGGGTCTTTTCTATAACCCCGCCATTCAAATCAACCGTCAGACTAATCCTGAGACCGTTTCATCCGATCCAAACTCTTATCTCATAAATCTTATCGACTCGCCTGGGCACGTTGACTTTGCATCAGATGTTTCTACCGCGGTCAGGTTATGTGATTGTGCCTTAATAGTTGTCGACGTAGTTGAAGGTGTTTGTCCCCAAACTAGAACAGTTTTACGCGAGGCCTGGGATGAACGTCTCACTCTCATTCTTGTCCTCAACAAGGTTGATCGTCTTTTTGTTCAACTACGCCTCTCTCCCCTTCAGGTTTATGACAAAGTTCTACGTCTTTTGGAGCAGGTCAATTCCGTTCTTGCAGAATTATACAAGGCAGATGTTATGCAGCAGCAACAAAATACAAAAACTGAAGGTGCCGGAGGAACGTATACTTGGAACACAGGACTTGAAAATAGAGATGATTCTCATGTTTACTTCTCACCAGATCAATCTAATGTTATTTTCGCATCGGCGATGGATGGCTGGGGCTTTCGTATAAGCGATTTTGCAGATCTGTGGGCAGATCGCATGAAGCTGCCCAAAAAGGGTCTTTTGAAGGCTTTGTGGGGCGATTATTACTTTGCGCCTTCACCAAATGGTGGTCCACCTCGCGTTAAGCCGAATGCTCGATCGAAAAACAAGAATCCTGTTTTTGTTCAACTCATTATTGATAATCTGCATCATATTTATGACGTATGTTTGCTTATTCTAAGTTGTTTTAATTGTAACTTTCCAAGATTCTTTTCAATTATCAAACTTAAACGAGATAGGCTAAAAGAACAGAGGTCCTAAATTAGTGCTATTCCTATATTTTCCCTAGAGGATAGATAAGCCACTGGTCATGAAGGATTTCTATATTCGATGCTGCTCAATGTCAATGCTGAGGTGATTTATCATTTGAAAATTGTGACTTCCTTCAGCCACTTTTTAAGTTCCTTTGGAGGTTTTTTTCTGTTTTTGTTGGATACCGGTTATAACTGGTCATTTTTAAGCCTTTTCTCATAGTAGGTTGAAAGCCTCCTATCTTTGGAAGAATGTCTTTCTACAAACTTACTTTTATATCTTAACATCGATCCGTGTTGGGTAAATGTCTAAGTTGGGTTTCGACATACACTAGGAATGTTATGTTGTCATCTTTATGTCGATTATCCGTGGAGTTCGACGTGATCAATCGCCATTCACAGATTAATAAGAAACATTTTTCCACGTCAAATATAGAGTTCAAATGCCTATTAGAACTAGATTCAGCTTTCCGTGGCCAATCACAATCAAATTCTAATGCTATAAACAGTATGTAGATTAATTCAATAAATGACCGCCTTGTTAATATCTCTTTCTAGTATACTTTATGTGCTATGGGCATTTTGTTTTTGCTTGAAGCCCTGACTAGTTGTGTACTAATTGGTCTATAACTTATTTTGTGAGTTCTAGTGGCGAGGAAAGAATTTTGATCAAGGAATCACGTAAGAACAGAAAGATAGTTCGTTTTTGAAGAGAGGGTTAGGAGCCAGATTTGTAGGTCATTTGCCTCCTCCACTTTAATTGTTTGGCTTACTCTTTTGGCCAACTTCATGATATGATGCAATTCCGTCAAGTGGTATTTTATTAGTATTCTTATCTGCTAAGTTGACTGAATGTCCTGCTATTATCCATAATATCTCACATCATGATTTAATTAGTCATCATTAATGGGATTGTTTTTGCTGGGTCTATTGTATTTGGTTACATTGTATACTGAAAATTGCTTCCACCAGTGATTGTATTATCCTTCTCTAAACGCTTTATGCACGCATTTTCTTATTTAGAAAATTATTCTGGAGGAAAATCGTGATGCTGCTGGTCACATTGCTGAGCGCTTAGGAATTAAATTGGAAAATCGTTATCTCCAGCAAAATCACAATGTCGATAATCGAAGTGTATTGAGATCAATTCTGAGTGCATGGCTTCCCCTTGGCCCTGCAATGTTCCGTTCCATCGTTGAGATCTGTCCCAGCCCGTCAAAAGCCATCACACCTGAGCGAGCTCGTTTCATGATTTTCGGTGAGAATACCTCCACTGACCAGGTGACGCTAGAAAATGATGTAATAGAAAACGACGAGGCTTTCCCTGCTCTAAGTGCTTTGCAAAAGTGCAGTTCCAGTTCTACCGATCCTGTTATAATATTTGTTTCTAAGGTGTTCTGTTCTGATATCCAGACTAATATTACTTCCACCGTCACCTTTCCCAAAACTAGAAAAGAGGGCAAGACTGTAACCTCAATTCCTGGATCTCAGTTGGCCTCAAACAACTCTACTACCGTTCCGAATAATGAATTTGTCGCTCTCTCACGTATCTACAGTGGTCGTGTTAGGCTTGGCCAACGTCTATTTGTCCTCGGACCGAAATTCGATGGAAGTAACGTTCCCGATTGTTTGTTAGACGCTAATCCAAATGACCTTCCTCTCGGGCCGCTGAAAATTCCTGATAATGAGGAAGAGGAGGAAAATGAGCTACAGTCTGCATCTCCTTTCCGCCGTAGATCCGTTTCCAACTCATCATTGTCTTCAAATGCATCTGATGCTGGGTCTATGGGCATGGGGTATTCTGGGTATGATGACCGCTTTGTTAGACATGCGTATGTTGGAGAAGTAAGCGACGTAGTGCAGTTCTGTGGTGGACAGAATAATGTCATTAGATTGAAGAATGTCAAGTACCCAGATGATTCACTCTCTGCTGGTAATGTTGTGGGTCTTGTTGGGACAACTATTGTTAGTAATTTACCAAAATCTGGACTCCTGGTGTCGAGCTTACGTATGGTCACTTCCGTTTCCTCCTCTGCAGAATCTAAGGATGAATTTAGACGCCGAATCCAACCACTGGGAGGTCTTGCAGTTTGGCGCGGTGTTCCCGTAGTTTCTCTTGTGATCGAACCCGTTAGCACTACAGAATCAGACATGTTACTACTAGAAGAAGGTCTAAAACTCCTCGAACGATCTGATCCTTGTGCTGAAGTTACATTTACGTCTAAAGGCGAATGCCTCCTTCATGCTGCAGGTGAAATCCATATGCAAAAATGTCTAGAAGATTTGACCAAATACTTCGCTCCCGAATTGGAGCTGCATACATCTCCCCTTGTAGTGCCTTTTCGCGAGACTGTGACTCTGGGATGTCCTCCTACTGCTTATACTCCCTTTGATTCTCTTTCCTTTGCTAAAGCTCAGTTAGAAAGAGAGTTAAAGCAGAAGAATCTTGTATATGATGAAGTGAGAGAGAACTGTGTACGTAAAGGGGATGCTGAAGGGACCACCATTTTCCAGCTTCCAGAACAGGAATCTGAAATATTCGATCCAACACCTTTCCTTCCTCTTGGAATGCTCCAATTGCCTCATAGCAAGTTGAGAACGCGTATTTTTATCCGTGTGACTGCTCATCCGATACCCGAAAACCTCCTCAACTGGCTTGAATCTCGTGGTGCAGCCTATGTGAAGGTACTTATCGGTAGTGTTAAACGTAAGTCTGCATCCTCCCGTCGCGCAGTGGCTTATTTGAAGCGATTTGAGGACGAATTTGCCTCTCAATTGGATGCTATTCCTCCGGAGTCTTGCGTCAATTTGGATTGGCGTTCACTCAAGTCGAGATTACTCTGCCTTGGGCCCCAACAAGTGGGCCCCAATCTTCTATTCTCACGACTGCGTTCGGGTCTGTTTCGTTTGGATACAGCCTGGGGCAAACCTATGCCTCCGTGGTCGAATGAAAATGATCCTGTCTCAATACCAAGCGAAGTTCGTGATGGAGGCAGTGTCTCCCTCATGCACTTTCTCAGCTATGGTAAGGCTATTCTTAGAGGTTTTCAGATGGCGACTGAACAGGGTCCACTTTGTGCTGAACCACTGCGAGGTGTAGCCTTTGTTCTAGAGGAGATCTATGCGGAAGATCGTATGCAGTTACCTACTCCTCGAATCTTAACAGCTGCTAATTTGCAAGCAGAAACTTTAGAAGAGACTAAAGCTGCAGATAAACAGAAATTAGATGCCACCAGTAAGGTGAAGGATGAAAACAAAAGTGAGGAAGATGATCCAATATTGGCCAAGTTAATGGCGAAGCAGGCGGCTATCGATAAGCGGCAAAAGGATGTTTCTTCTATGGCCTGGCTAATTTCAGATGATGAAAGGAGTGATGCTGAAAACGATGGCGACTATGATTACTCTGATAATGAATGGAATGAGGACATTGAAGATGCATACAAATCGAGATCCGAAGAAAGTGAAGCTTCGGAATCCGAAGAAGAGGAAGATGATCAGGTTGTTGAAGTCGAAGTAAGTTGCTCCTCATTTATTACTTATGTACATCGTGCTTAACGCCATATACATATACCATTGAAGGTTATGTTTTCTAAGTCGATCATATAGAATTGAGTGCTTTTGTTAGGTTTCTTCGAGCTGAACGATATTATTCATAAAATGCATTGTACTGGAAAGCTGAAATTATGAAGGATAAGTTACAGGAGGGACCATAAAAGTGTCACCATTCTGTACATTCTGGTGGCATAGCAGTTGCAAGAGCGTCTGGAAAGTTAAATCACTTAAAATTGTACTTTCTCTATTCATACCCAAGGATTGAATTAACCCGAGAGGCAATAGCAAATGCGAATTGTTCTTTTTATATGGTTTCTATGAGCTGAAAAATAAGTGCCCTGAAAGAGCTAATCTTTATTTGCGGAGATATGAAGCTTCTATCTTAAAAACTTAGTAGTTTACCAAGTGTTGTTGAATTGCGTGGGTGCAGTAATCAAATTAGAATGTCGGTTGGAGGTGAGTGAAATTTCGAAACCGATCAATAAACAGGGTATTGATTAGTTTAGAAATACAGCTTAGGCAAAAAATAGGAACAAAAACTTGGGGGATCGACCCGAAGGCCGAGCGTTCTCCCATGCTTGTGATACTTACAAATTGCTATAATTCGATTCTGCCTCCTCATTCCCCTCTCCATTCCACTTATTTTCTAGAAAAAGCTCACAATAAGCGATCATTTCTACTGGCAACGGCGAAGCACTAACAGTTGGTTATCTGAAATTAAACCGGAACTCTTAACTTCTGTAATGAATCGTGCCTGTATGGCAGCGTTTATGGCTTGCCCTGCGCAAAGACTTGTGCTTTCTATGTACGATGTTGAGTTGTTGGTACGTTGATCTTCCTTATCTTTTGGCCTGTTATTTTATAATACTGTTTGGTCTAGAATTTGTCGTTTTTTTCTAGTGCCGCAGCGACGGGTTAGGTCGTATGTACGCCGTTCTACGCAAACGCTTTGCCCGTATAGTAAATGAAGATATGCGGGAGGGTGAAGAGTGTTTCGTGATCCATGCTCGTTTGCCAGTTGTAGAGAGCTTTGGTCTGACGGATGACTTACGAAAACGAACGTCGGGTCAAGTTTCCCTGCCACAGCTACGACCTGGAGGCTGGGAGGTGCTGGATATTGATCCCTTTCAGCGAGATGCCAGTGGTAAAATCGCTGTGTTAGGAGAGACACATATTAAGATGTGGCAACGCCAACAGGAAGCAATAAAGAAGTTGAAATTACAAACTGCGGAAGCTACTGATCTTTCCGGGCAGAATGACGCCCGATCGACTTATCCTCCGTCAGATATCGACTCAGACGATAGCCAGGTAGAAGAGGAATTGGCCAAAGATGAGATTATCACAGATTTGAATCGATTACGAGGTTACTTGAAGGATGTAAGAAAACGTAAAGGTCTTAACATTAATGAACAGCTTGTGGTGGAAGGCGCCAAGCAGAGGACGCTGACAAAGAATAAGTAGTGTCTGTGTGAGCGTGTTGAAGGAAATGACTTCTGTGATCTTTTGATGTATTATATGAAATTGTTTTTTTTTGTACAAACTTATTGATCTATTTATATAATAAAGATACATGCAAAATCTACGCAAATGCCTCGTTTTGATTACCACTTTTTGGCTTAGTACATGTGATCAGGTTATGGTTTATTGTTGACTTGATTAATGAGTACTACGTATTTGTCAAGGTACTGTTGGAATTTAACCACATGAATCGTGAGTAGACACTTTGGCACACCTTTAATTCGCTTGTAACATAGAGCTACTGGTTGTTTGTCCATCTGATTAATCACCTATGTGGCAGTGAAGAGATTTCATTAATAGGTGTGAGGATAGACGGATGGTGGGTTGAAAGCAGGTAGGAGAGAAATTAATTGTATGTGTTTTTTTATATTTTTAGTACCGGGGTGTGCGATAGACTTACCTCCACGTGGTGCACCCTGGGCAATGTGNAGGTAGGAGAGAAATTAATTGTATGTGTTTTTTTATATTTTTAGTACCGGGGTGTGCGATAGACTTACCTCCACGTGGTGCACCCTGGGCAACGTATACTCATACGGCAAAAAAGTCTTTAAATCGGCAGTTGGCTTCTGACTTCAAATTACCATCACCCCACTGTATGTCATATTCGACATCTTTCACAGTACCCACCTAACCTTTTTCCTACCTTTTCTAACTTCGTCTTTGAAACTCTTCTGTTCCTCCCCCCCCCTCTCGACTTTTTTTCACTTTGATGTTCCTTCCCCTCTGTGAGGCCTGAAGTCAACTAAAGGGCTAGTGATTGCCATCAAAACGCCTGCCATTTTATATAAATAAATAAATAAATATTTTTAGTACCTCTCAACGTAGTGCAAGAGTGGAGTTAATTACACATGGTGTCTCTAGTTGCAACTTTGTTTTGATATATGACTAAAGAGTTGCTATGACAATCCATCAAGACCCACGAGATGGGAAATATTGATGACTGCTCTGAAGTCCGACTGACTCAACTTTTAATTTGTTAAAGATGGAGTTCAAGCTAATTCAAAATGAATATTAATGAGTGGGAGGATTCTAATGGACCAATAACCAGTCCGCTTTCCAGTAGCTCTGAGCACCATCTGTACAGTTCATGCTCTCCTGAATTTCAATAAGTTAGCTGTAAATGTAATCAGTTAAGGAATCATGTTTTCAGAAGACTCGTTTCGCATTCTTCTGAAAGAGAATTGAGTGGTAGTGTTGCCAAGGTAAAAGAGATTCATATCACAACGAAATTGATGTTGGATGTTTGTGAGGGGTCACATGATATTATTCAAAAATATAATCCCTTATTTTCGGGTGGGCGAACTTTCGGAAAACCCCGGTAATTTCGTTTGACCTAATTGCCACACTGGGTCGGATTAATATGACTTTTGTATACGATTGACCGATAGTTGAATGCGTGATCTATAAACTAGGTCAAATGAGTTTATCTTCGATTTCCTTCCCCTCTGAGGTCAGATTCAAACACTAACCAACTGGGAGTTGATCCTATTTTCGAATGTTCCCTTTTTGTCGTCATATGTATGCTTAGATATGTGACCCTTCATTAATCAAAATTAAATCAAAGCATGTTGAAATACTAGTTATATACTCGATAAATATGTTGCTTCCTTATTGTAAATTATTCTTTGTTTGTTGATCGTAATGGTGCACAGATCAGGGAGGAAGTGGGAGGAGGCATCAGATGTTTTGTAGCAGCTGAAATTAAGGTGTCTGTGTCGTCCTGCTAGCCATTCTCCCCCTTGAACCCATAAATCATTGACCATTAGTTCCAACTGGGGGGGGGGGTGTGCGATAGACTTACTTCCACGTGGTGCACCCTGGGCAACGTATACTCATACGGCAAAAAAGTCTATTATCTGGCAATTGACCTCTGACTTCAAACTTCCATAACCCCACTGTATGTCATATTCGACCCCTTCCACAGAACTCATCTAGCCTTTTCTCTGACTTTGTGTCTGTCTGTTACATCTGTGAATTGCTCTTCTTTCTCCCTGTCGACTTTTTTCACTTTGATGCTCCATCCCCTCTGTGAAGCCCGAAGTCAACTAAAGGGCTAATGGCAACTATCAAAATGCCTGCCATTTGAAATGAATAAATAAATAGTTCCAACTTGACATTAAATAACCCCTACCCTTTGGGTCGCATTGGATTAACTCATTTACAAATAGTTAAGAAACATCATAATGAACCACCTACCTTTCTGAATGCTGAATATGCATAACTAATATGTATATTTTATTATTTAGAATTCACTTCATGCATGTATATTTAGTAAGTGTGGATTTGTAGAATTCAGGGGATTAGCATATTGTTGATATGACGAATACTTACACATAATTACTAAATTCTGCTGTGGCTGATCTATAAATGTCACTTTCGTGGTCATCATCATTAAGTGTAATGGATAAAAAACAGAGTTAACGTTTGATAAAAGATCAAACGGTACGTTATCAAAGAAAGGAATTAATTTTCGACAAGATTAGGAGAGATGAGGGTAAATAGAATAAATGGAGAATCATGCAACCAGTATAGTTTAGGAAATTCGATGTGAAATATTAGAAGGGGTGATAAAATATAAGGCAGAATTGTTTATCAATGTATTTAAAAAGGGTTAGTAATTCTCAGATTTATATGGGTGTAAATGTCAAATGTATGCTGCCGAAACAAAAATAGCGGGCATGGAAAACTACTCATTTATTTAAATAAAAAATTTCTATTACGATTTAATTAATTTATGTCAGCAAAGAATTTTCATTTTGTCTACATCACAAGCGAGTTACATAAGCACGCTGCTCCATCGGTCTCTATGGTCTCGATATGTAATACTAACATTCTGAATAAAACCTAATTAGAATCGAAGAAATACCCAGAAATGAGAAATTTCAGCAAATGTACTTTATTTAACCTTCACACACAAAATAATTCTCCCTTATCTAGATCAGGCCTTTAGCAAGCTTTTCATAGGGATTCAAAATAAAAAATTACTATGTAATTAAAACTAAAGCATTCAATTGATCATATAAAATTAATACATACTATGTCCAACACATCATTTTGTTATTGGTATTCTATAAATTGCGATTCGAATCAAATATTATCTATAATTTTAATGCACCACACAAGTGCAAAATTACGAATTACAACTTGCGCTCTTGGTTTTGAATTAACGAACCATCGTTCAAGTGGCAAATGTCTTTTAATATCTGTCGTTTTATCGACTAAAGACTCTATGAGTTCTTGAATCTTTTGACCGCTTTTATGGATGTGTATGAAGAAATTATTGATCCTGAAGCAAACGAATTTTACGATAACGTTCGGACATTTATTGTTGTATTCCTCACTGTTGCATGTCTTCTTCCAACATCCTACGTTCTTCTTAACTCGAGACGCAAAATTAAGGAGGCTTACTTGTCTAAAGAGGATGTAACTGTTCAAAATTTTGTGCTTCTAGTGAGCATGTCTATTGTGTCATTATGCATCATAATGGTCTTTATGCTTCCATTGTCCATCCTTGCTAATGAAGTTTTAATACTTTTTCCCGATCGCTATTATGTTCAGTGGATAAATGCAGGCTTATTGCATGCATTCTTCGTACTGGTGCGTATAGCATTTAAAGGATCCTGTTTTGTGATACCGTTTAGTTTCTTTCTGATGTTCTCCCATACTGCAAACAAAGGAAACAAGGGTTTATGGTCTCGATGTTTCTATTCTATGCTCTATGTTGTTGTTACTTACATCGCTTCATTTGGCTGCTTAACAGTGTTCGTTTCTACTATTTTGGTTGCCTTTAATTCTTCTAATCTCACAAGTGTACATGGCTCAGTTTCCCATTTCCTCCCTCGAGCCTGTTTCTCATCACCAAACTTTTATTTTTCTTGGCCAGTTCAACTTTTTGGTGATATCATTTGCTCCATCGATAGCATCTTGCTTCGCACTCAGCAATCTATTTCATACATCGGTCTTTCCCTACTCTTAGTATGTATGCCCAGTGGAATTTGCGGTCTCATTCTCAAAATGATCAGCTTCTCTCATTCTACTCAAACACTTTACCAGCCATCGTCGATTGAAACCTATAATACTGATTGTGAGTATCAGTTTCTGCTGGAAAAGTGCTCACAATATATCAAGACGCTCAATGAACCGTTTCATCAGCACACAGATCAGTATTTCTACCAAATAGGCGCTCATTCGGATATAAGCTACCGACTATCTCTTGATGAAACGGAGCCGCCTATAAAGTTGAATGAAGCCCCTCTTAGACGCACTAGTTCTGTCCTCTCAACTGTTGCATTCGTGTTTCTTATGATTGTTTTCATTGCCTCTGTTATATCAACATCAGTGAATATTATCGCCATGCTCTATAGTCTTCTAATACCCCGCGGTGAGGAAACTGCAGATCGGTCGTCGTTCAACGACTATATCATCCTTGGTCATGAATCGGTCTCAAAGTTTGGTTTCTTTGGAGCTTTCTTGCAGGTGAGTTGTGCGTTTGGTTTGTTATTGTATGGTCTCAGATTCATATTGTGACATTATTGAAAATGGCTCATAAGTCAATCTGTGTGTCTGCGACACCAAGAATCACAGGTCTCTATCTACCATTGTTTTTCATTTGAAGCTCGTAATATTTGCTTATGTTGTTGTCATTTAGACGATGAAAAACCACTTTTACGAGCAAAAATGTTTCGGATGTTTTCAACATCTCAATATTTATTTATTTAAAATGGCAGGCGTTTTGATAGTTATCATTAGCCTTTATCTGACTTCGGGCTTCACAGAGAGGAGGATGAACATCAGTGTGGCAAATCCGAGAGGGGGAACAGAAGAGTGATTCACGGATGTAAAAGAGACAGACAGACAGACACAAACTCGGAGAAAAGGTAAGATGAGTATTGTGGAAGTGGTGGAATATGAGATACAGTGGGGTCATGGTAGTTTGAAGTGAGAAGCCAACTGCCAGTTAATAGACTTTTTTGCCATATGAGTATACGTTGCCCAGGGTGCACCACGTGGAGGTAAGTCTATCGCGCACCCCACATCTCAATATCACTATGTAGGAAACGGTTTTACTACCAAAATTTGAAGATTTAGTAGAGTCGAGGAATCAGGCTCTTCGTCCGTTTTTATGCAAATTAATGCAGCTCTATTGTGTTATCGGCTTTGATTTATAAAAATACAAATGTAAAAGAGAATAAACATGTTTGTTTGTTGTCTTTATTTGCCTATGAAAAATAACTATAGAAAGTTGACTTGGACCTTGATTGTCCACTTATTTTAAAAGAAGATAGAATTAAGGCAATGGATGTACTACCAGGTAATAAACAAGGGCACTATATCTCTGTCATCTACTTCTTGGCGGATAACGGATCATTTTAACTCTGATAAATTCTGATAAAATTTCCTTTGATGTAGAAGAAGTAGGACATATCCTGCGCACCGATTTACGTGGTTTCTGCTAATCCTTTGTTTCAGTTTCCATCGTCCTAAATTTTGAAATTCGATTTTTGGTATATCAAGCAGTTGAGAGTGATGTCTCTCCACAATGTTGATAATTTTTTTTAGTTGTTTCAAGCTGCTATTACTCTGCTGGGTTATAAATCTTGTGGAAATTCTCAAAGTTTCGGTTATTTAAGCCACCTAATCCATTTCTTCCCGTTTAGTGCAATTTTTGCAGTGTTATTATCCTATTTATTGAATAGACGTCTCATCGAACGACCTACAATTTCATCTTGGTTATATTACGGTCATGCCCGCCCCCTTCCCCCAACTAGCCAAGTCCTTAGGTTTTATTTCTAATTCGCATTAAGGACTTTTGCCCCTCTAGAAATTGTTTGCACTACTATTTCTTTCCAGTGAGTTTTCACTTTTTATGGCTTTATTAGTTTTGCCAGCTCTTGACGAACACTTATCATGGTTTCAGCCACTAAGACTTATTACTTGGCTTGGTTTATCAATAATTTTTTCTAATTAAAGGATGCTAGGATTATAGGCCTTAATTTGACATTTCTATACCGTTTGCTTGGTTAAAGGGATAAATTTTTAGCAGTTCCCTCGAATTCCCTAATGGTGTCATTGTTAGTGTCCATGAGATCATACCTCTACTAGTATTTTGAGTACTTTTAATATCCGTTCGTATTTCAGCATTGTCCTAATAAGCACCAAGATTTTTGTTATGTACTAATCCGCTAATAGTTTCATAACTCGCCTCCACTGTAAAACCACCACTCGTATCCACTAAAGTTGTGTGTGTGTGTGTGTGTGTGCGTGTGCGTGTGTGTGCGTGTGTGTGTGTGTGTGTGTGTGTGTGTGTGTGTGTGTGTGTGTGTGTG